GGAAAAAAAATTGTACCATATTGCTTATATTTATCTTCAATAATTTAAATTTTTATATATAAATTTTATTATTCATTAGATAAAAATACTTTTTTATTAGGCATTTTAAAAACTAATTTTTATTTTAACTATAATATTAATGAAAAATTACATATATTTTTCAATTCTATCCTTAGCAATTAATTAATGTACATTTTTAGAAAAATTGATTAATATAAGAGAGAAGAGATATAATAGATAAGCATTCGATAATTTTTCTAAAAATTAGAACATTAATTGTATTTTTGTTTTTTGCTTTACAATTTTAAATGATGAACAAAAAGAAATAAAGAAAATATTAAACATTGTTTCTATCATAAAAGATATCAAATTTATTTATTCTTTATTGAATACTTTAAAAGATTAATAAAATACAATAGAAAGATAAAGTGTTACTATTAGTTATTACCATTTTTCCTTATCCGTTATAATAATCTTCGGTTTGATTGACTTCGCAATCATAAAAGACATTAGTGTTGTTTGATAAAATTACTACAAGGTAATCTTTGAAGGTAATAAAACGACAAATTATGAATTCCTTACGTATATTTATTGACATCAATATTGCGATTAATCATATCGTGTCTACTTTTTGTCGATTTTGTTTATTACGAGATAATCTTTCAAGGTAATGAAGCAAAAAATTATGAACTGCTTAACAACTATTTAATGACATTAATATTATAATTAATCGTATAATGTCTCTTTCGTTACATCAAGTGATTATATATTTACACGCTGCATGAACATTTTAAAACCTCTCGAATGAAATTTGAAGGGTGCGTGAATATTAGTATCATGAATTCATACAAAAATAAAAACACATCGGTAAAACATATCATGAAATACAAAAGAATAATGAAGTATTGTAGAACTTTCTTTATTGACATGTTTAACTTTTATCTAATGTATATTTTTCGGACATTTTGTCACGTTGAAGGCATATTATCATGTTAAAGGAAGAAGCCCCAATTAGCCACAAGGTGAAGAGATACAGAAATATGAGGAGGCACTTAAAAAATGACACGAGACTGGAGGTAAAACATTATATGTTATCCACAGAGAAATGTAATACCACTTTTTTTTTTAACAATTTATTACTATTATTATTCAAGACTCATAATTTTAAAATTTATTAAATGAAAAGTGAACCCGCATAATTTCTCGAGTCCCCACAAATCTCAGACAATAATAAGAAAAAAGTATTACAAAATTTTACTAGAATTTCTCGTTATCAACATGGTTGAATGATCATACCACATCAATGTTTTTCTTTTGCTTTTAGGAATGAAAAACTAATATCAATTTTTATGGAACAACTCATTAGTTATTTCATATAATTCCCAAGTATTTGAAAACACACACACACACTCATTTTGATAAAAATTGTAAATTGTGTGTGGGCGTGTAGTTTTACGAGCATAATGATACTTTAAGTCATTAATATTATTTAAGAAATAGCTTATTAACTGAATACAATGAGTTGAGCTAGTGGTAGGTGGTAGCAAGCGTATAAACACACGAACATGATGTCTATATCGAAACTACGGCTGAATTTAACAAGTTTCTAAACTTAGTCACTAAAAAGTAGAGCAACTCTATCAAATGCTTGGCTATATGGTGCTCATACTGCCTACTTAAAGTACATGTAGTAGGTTCCCACCAATCTTTGACATTTACACCATTTAAGTTTTGTTTCAAACTTTAAATCACCTTGAAGAAAAGAAAAACAAATATATATACAACCCTGGCTAATTTAGAAAGGAAACAAAACTAATTTATATAGATAAAAGTTTGAACTCAAACCTTGGTTTAGAAGAGTTTGAACTTTGATCCCAGCAAAGCATGACATGCGTTCACAATGGCAAACGGGTGCATATGTAACATTGACAAATTCTAACTTGATTTTAGGGAGAAAAGTAAATAAAAATTGGGAGTAATCAGAGGCAGTAAAATAGACGACGACCACGTCCAAATAATTCCATTAGTTAAAAAGCAACTTCAAAGGTTTTCTAATATATGTGAACCTTTACTTTTTTTTGGGTCAACAATATGAAACCTTAACTTGTCGTTAGGAGAAAAAAACTAGAAAAAATCTCAGCAACAAACTAAATCCGTGAGTCCACCTTTTTTTGGGGTCCAATAGCCGTGTGTCTACTTTGAAGGTCTTATAAAGTTGTAATGGCTCATTGGGGTAAACTGGGTAAGTGCCACAAAAGTGGGAGAAAGATAAGGAACTTTGCTGTTCCTTTCCCCACTTAAAAGCTGAGGAGAAAGGTGAAAGAGAATCTTCATAATTTACACGAACAAAAAGCTTGATAAACGTGATGCTGTGATGCATATACTAGAGTTATAATTCACCCAAGAACCCATATGTTTTCTATTTGGGAAACAAACTGTTTTTTTCGCAGCTTTGCACTTTATTATTATCAAAGCAGACGACGACTTCGGTTCACATCCAACAGCAGTCAGCTTTCCTAATTTGACCAAGCAATTTGCTTAACAAATACTTTTTCACAAAGTTTACATAAATGGTTATACTGTCATTGTTTTTACACAATTATTTTATTAAAGTTTAAAAACTGTATAATGCGTACAGAAAACGTTATGAAAAACGTTGTGCTTTTATACTCAGTTTTGTATAAGAGATTATTAAGCCTTTTTGAATTACAATTTTGACATTACACCTTTAAAAATCTATCACGTTATTAAGCTTTTTCTTTGACATCGTCAGACAAATTAGGAAGCAGGAAGCCAGTAATCTCTCAAGCTATAAAAAGCGGATATTAAACTATACTAGTTTTGGTGAATTTCCCATCTCCCAATATATTCACTTGATTCTATTTCTAACACCTACCGTGGGAAGTTACAGTTGTTTGATTTAAATATTTTAAAATAGCATTAGCATAAAACACAATGATACAATTTTTCAATTATATATGAATTTAAGGCATGCTCTAGAAATCCAAACCTTTTCTATTCAAATGAACGGATTACGCGTTCAAGACCAACTCACGTTTATATTTACGACGTACCTGAACCGGAAAACTTAATATTGTAAAAAGGAATAGGAATATAATTATTCATATTTTTATCCAGTCAATTTATATTTTACAAATAATCTTTGAACGAGTACATAACCGTTAATTTTACCAAACAAGTTCTAGTAAATGAATTTTAGACATTTATTTATGACTACTTGCATCACTAGTTTTAAATTATCATTAAAAAGTCATATCGTCAAGTAAATCCGTCAATATTAAATGACACCGGAGAACAAAACGTAGTTAATAGCGAAGAGAAATGAAACCACCTATTTATAAATAGCAGAATGGAGAATATGAATAAAAAAAGTAGGGTGCGGGGGGACCAAAGTCAGTTCAACCATTTAACCAATATGGATTTAGGGATTATTATATTAATAATTGAAGAATTTCTGCTTGATTTATTTTGCCATTAGAAGAAATTCAATCCAATTTTCGAAGCAAAAGTTCTTTCTTTTCGCCTTCTGTTCAACCTCCTGATGGGTCCATGAAAGTGAGAAGTTTCTAGTCAAATATATATATTGGAGGGTTTAAAAAAATAGTAATTTTTCTAGTACCTTGGAAATCAAGAGAGTATTCTATATCTCCTTATTCGTAAAATAATTATCACTAATAATTTTATATTAAATATTTATAATAGATGGTAGAATTAATGATCTATATGAAAAAAAAAAATTCTTTAATTTTTAAAATATTAGAACAATCATAATCATTGATTTTAAAAGATATATAAGATATCCTTTTAAATTTTTCAAGTTTATAGACACTATAGAATGCAATTTAAAAAATTTGAGGCAACGAAAAACAAATAAAACTGGGGACTTCAGATACATCGGAATAGATGGAAACAAAGGAACCAGAGGGAAGAAAATGACTTTCTACGTAAACTCCCAGATCTGTTGTCTATGTAAACCAATACATAAAATCTGTTGCAGAACCTTTTTACATAAGCCGAAAAAGATAAGCTTCTCTCTCTCAGGCTCTCTCCCCCTCACTCTACTGCCTCCTTTTACTAACATTTCTAATTATCAAATAAAAATGTTATTTATATTTTCAAGATATTAAATACATATACTTTTTCATTTAATTCTTCTCATAAAATGATACATTATTACCATTAAAAAAACTATATGATTTTTAAAAAATTATTATAGAAGTTAACAATTTTTTACTATATATAACAATTTATGATTTGATGATAATGTAAACTATTTTTATACCGACCGTATATTTCAATTAAATTCTTTTTGTAGAGTACGAAGATATAGCACTACTTGGTGAGATTGATCAATTGCAAAACAATCCCGCCCACCTAATGTGAATACACTTGTTTAAGACTGATCATAGATTATAACTCACGCAAAGGTCCAGGTAAGGGGAGAAGAAGAATGCTACCAATACCTTTTCTTTAAACATGACTATTAAATAAAATTTATGTAGATATCACTATATAATGCTGTCTCAATCCATTTCACCCAAAAAATATATAAAACGGTGTTAAAAAGTATGATGTTAAAAATGACATTGAGTGTTACAAATGTCATTTTTGTATTCGTTCAGAAGAGTTGTTGCTCTTTTATAATCATTCACAGAATCAGAACTCTAGGCAAACCATTGACGATCACAAACTGCTAAAACTTAGAACTATTATTTTCTGCAGGGAAATTTATCAGAGGAAACAAATAACTGCCATTCAGCCTCCAATGAGTTTAATTTACCACTAATTTAACTCGCACCCCCACCTCCATATTTTTAGTCCACGTTTAAGTAGTAGCATATTTGGTCTGCTGCGATACTGAGGAACCATACCCAGTACCATGTATCTTTTTTTTATTCTTAGTATTCCTCTCTTATTATCTTATTATATGTTCTAATTTTTTAGTTTTGTCTAAAAATTTCTTCTTCTTTTTTGTGTTTGAAATTAAAAAATGAAAAATCAAAAAGAATTTTTGGCTCTACCTTATTTTTCATTTGAGTCAAAGAAAAGAAAGTCCAGAGTGATAATGACCTCAGAAGTTTTCTTCAACAAACTTTTGGTGAATTTAGATTTAGGGTGGTATGGGACTAAATGGTGCTATAGCTAGACGGATCAGGGCATGTGGGCGTTTCAAAAGATGATGGGGAAACAGCATCGCAGGGGATTCACCCCCTCGAACCCCCGTTTTTTCTCCCAGAATGTCAAATGGAATGCTCTATCTTATTTTGGTTTAAACTTACACCTATGACCCTTGAAAAAAAAGATAAAATAGAACTCAAAAAGGCACTTTTGAACTTTTTTATTTCTAAACATTTCTATTCCAATTTCCCTCTCGTGTTCTGTCAAGAAAATAAAGGTAGGGCCAGTCCAAAAGGATTTGGATGATTAATGTGCCAAGAAAAAAGATATAACTTATAAACATATAATCAAGTCATTGGGCACCAATCAAGTAGCCTCTAACACCTCATTTCACCAACCCATTGGGGGTGAATTTTGTTATACCTCAATCACGGACCAAGTCATGATTATATGATTTATTATTGCATTAATATGCAATTTTCAAGCGCTTATTTTCACTCGATCAAGAAAATACGTGCTACCAAGGAAAAAAAAATAGAACAAGTGTGCAAATGCCAATTAATTATATAGCAAAGACCAGAAAAGCAAAATCCAACTAGTTTCCAAGCAGTGATGTCAAAAATGCCAAAACAGCAATAATAATCATGATATTTAGAAAATAGTTTGACTGTAGAGGCTTATCTGGGCTTCCACCAATTGCCTCATATTCAGCCCGTATCTTCTGCTTCATAGCCTCAGACAGCTCTCTCTGCAATTCAAATAGGCACACTACTGAATTTTATTCCTTTCTTCTTGATTTAAAACTTCCAAATTTTACACGTGATATCACATGATTTGAAAATAGCTTCTTCTTGTATTACTAAAAGATACTGGAACAAGAAAACATGACACTTGTTTTTACTCCTGCACCAAACCAGGAAAAGTAAAACAATGAACAATATGCCAACAATATGCAAATATATATATATATATATATATATCCTATGCAAGTCTTTCATGGAAAGATACCCAACAAATTTTCTGAGTATCAATGAATAGTAAGATTTGATAAATCATGCAAGATAAGAACCTTTCCGGAGGAGTACTTGGCTGCTACAAACTGCTCTGCCCCTGCATTTGGAGAATCATCTATCACAATGCCCTGACAAACAGATTCAAAGGAAACTCTTACTTGGTAAGTAGGTCAATTATCTTGTTGTTTGGACTCAAATATGCACAGATATGAAAAAGAAAAAGGTAACAAAGTTACGTATGCATGCAAGAACCAGATCCCCAAGTCACTGGTCACACAAACAAACTTATCTCAATATGTAAAAGGAAAGTTACAGTAACTCTAAAGGACCAACCTCTGGAGGATCAAATTTGGCTCCTAGGTTGCTGAGTTTGGCATGGGCTTCAGCATAATCTTTAAAGAATGCTCCCTCATCTTCAGCATATTTCTCAGCATATACCTGAATATTTCACAATTTTTTTTTTTTCATTTGGTTTATCACTTCTTCTTTTTTGTTGATTTGTAATAGCCACAAAATAAACTCCAGCTATTTTACCTTGAACGATGGATCTTCAAAAAGAGCAGCATCAGTTGGCAACACCAGTAGATCTTCATCCTTTTTTTCTTTGATGTCCTGTATGTAACGATGGTTACAAAAAAAAAAGGGTAAATTCCTGCATACTCCCCTTTCTTCTCACACTCTCCCATATAAAAGAACCCCTCCCCCTCTGGGGTAAAAAATATTATATTCCTGACCTTGAAGTAGGAATTATCAAACTTCAACCATTGCACTGTCCAGGATTGTCCTCCAGGTGCTCCTGGTCCATCTTTCTGTAGAGTCAGAAATACATGTTAATTTCCTAGTATCTTATTGTCAGGCTAGAGATGTTGCACTTGCAGTCAATAACATCTTCCACTCCAAAATAGAATGATTGGCTAAAAATGAATCTTGATGATGATTTCAACCAGAAATTAATATGTACTTGCAATGTCCCTTGAAATCCCCTTCCATCAATTATTTATTTCAAAATAGCAAGTCCAAAACTTTTGAGTTGTAAAGTAGATAGGAACCACCTCAATATGTAAATGGTGTTTCTATTGTACTCCCAAGAACACAAAAATAGATATCATTAGTGTCAAAACCAATGGCTACATCACGCATGGGCATTACAGTATCCAATATTAAAATTAAAATTACAACAAGGTTTTAAGATTTCAAAGACACCTACAAAATCATTTCATATAACTTGTGGGCAGAAGGGAAGATAATATACCGTATATTTAGTCTCAGGCTTGCCCCAACCACTGCGATCTGGTCTGCTCCGCCCCAGTGTGTGTGCACCAGATAATGCAACAATTTCCTGCAGATACAATAACTCGGTAGTCAAAATCTGACATATTACTAGAACCCAATATACAGCCTAAATACTTGTGAGAAATAAGGGAAATACTTTGTCATTCAAACCCATTCGGTAGAAAACTTGACGCAAATGATCAGCAGGAGAAGGGGGGCCAGCATCTGAGTACAAAACATATCTAGAAGTTAGCCAATTGACATTGTTAGAAAAAGGAATTGCCTTGTAAATGTAGGATAAAGTATCATCTATAAGCCACAATTATCCTCTTGAAAGGAGTAAAATATGTCATCTAAAAGACAAGATTTTCAGTTTTCAAACTGAAAGTGAAAACATCTACATTTACATATTAGCTATCTTCAGCAATAGAAAATTTGAAACTGCAAATAGCTCTTGAATGACTACTGATTATGGTACGATTCTTCCCATTGTCAAAAAAGTTGAATTTTCATTCAATAATCAATAAAGTCTTATGACTAGGGGTGTTCAAAACCAAAAAGGTCTGAAAAACCAAAGTAGCTCAATCCAAAATATTTGTCTGGTTGACTAGGTTTGAACTTTTGTAAAATTTTGGGTTTAGGCAGGATTAGGTTTAGGTTAATAAATATTTAAACCAAATCAACCCAACATACTTACTAAGCCAAGATAGATGTTTATTATTGGTTGTGAATGCATTATTGGAAATTAAAATATGCCATCCTTTATATCTTATGAGTCTCTGACCATACAAAGTTAGTGTTTTTTCTCACTTTTCTATCAACTCTTAGTTTTTAAAAATATGTATAATTAGTCTATAATTTGGGTTTGAACTAGTTTAGCATTAAACCCTTGATTGTTGAACATCAATGTAACAAAATGGTAGAATGTGCAGTCCCTCATATCTTATCAGCCTAAGAAAGTCTTTTTCCCCCCTTTCTTCTACTACATGACTATCAGTTTTCAAAAAATGTTTATTCTATAATTAGGTTTGAAATGCTGATTGCTAAACATCAATGTATCTTAATTTAAATGAGAACAGGGAAATAGGGAAGTTTTAATTTAAATGTAAAATGGTAAGTTTAAAACTTTATTTTATTTCTTCTGAATGACTTCAGGCTTAAAAATAACAAAATAAGAACTAATTTATATTTTAAAATTGGTTTCAGTGTATCAAACTGGTTTTTGAAGGATATCTAACACCCATTTAGTCTCACTCCTTTCTATTTGATATTTTGATAAAAGAAACACTGTGATTTTTCTTTTCCGTAAAATATTCACCAATTCAGTAGCAGTAAATTTCAATTAAGATGCCACATATATATAACCTTGATTTTCATACTTTGGGTTCATTGGTTTGCAATTCTTCAGTTCAGAGGATGTGAAAAATTGTTGGCTTGAGTTCTGGGACTTAAGGCCCAAACCAGTCCATGTACTCCTATCTATAGTTGGCTGCTAGCTATTGTGCTAATCTGGTAAAACATATAACTGGATGATAACTAGGGTGGTGCAAATATGGAAGGAGCCCCGTTGTATGATGAAGAAAAAAAACATCCAACTTTTTGCATCTTTCTTTCATAAAATTTATTTATTTTTATGTAAATGATAACATAATGCGGAATTAATTAATGTAGGACATCGTAATAGAAGTGTTCAAAGAATCAATAGCAATTCTGAAAGTAGTCATACTAGGAAGAATAAGTAGAATTTATTACACAAAATAAATAACCACAAGGCAAACACTTGAGGACTTCTAAGAATATCCCAGTTAATTCAAGTCTCCAAAAGAAATCATTGTCAAATTCACTTATGACTCCTTGTTCTAAATGAGCACATTATATAGTCAAATTTCATACTTGAGCAATCAATTATTATATCTATGGAATCAGATCAGGACAATCAGGTCTGCATATCCAAGATGTCTTAAAGAGCTTAGCAGTTCAGAGTGGCCATCAGTTAGTTAAATAACCTCACATTTTAGCACCTTCAAATGATAAAACAATTTTATTAATAGATGCCTTATAAATGAATAGCTATTTGTTTCTCTATCCGTTTCTTATTCCCAAATTAACAGTAGCTCAGTCAATTCAGGCCCTACAGAAACAAAGAAGAGGGTTATCTATCACAATATAGCTCCCACAGGACATATGGTTGTTACTACTTACCAGGAAGTCTCCCTTCTTCAGGGCATTGTTCAGGTCCAGATACGTCCACTCTACCATATTTCATAGGGATTTTAGGGCCTCCAGCTTCCTGAAGTTGAAAAAAAAAAAGGTCAATGTATCTTTTAATTAATTCAAATAGACAATAGTCAGTCTAGAAACCAAAATAGGATTGGGGAAACCTCCACAGCTGTAGCACCAGCCAACTGAAACAAGTCTGCATATGTCACACCAGAGTATTTGTCTTTGATTGGCTGAAGAAGTTTCAATGCATTTACAAGTCCTGACATGGCAGCTCATCAGGAAAAAGTACCATAAGCAAAATTCAGAAATAATAAATATTTAATAAATCCTTACCGGCATTGGCTGCATGTTTCAGCTCAACTTCATATCTTAAGCTACCATTAGCTCCGCCTCTCTGTGGCCACTCCTCAATATTCTTATTATAAGTACCAGCATCATGCCATCCCAAACGAATCTATAACAATAAAATCTATGTAAACTATTAAATAAATAAAATTTTTCCATCAATGGCACAAAACTAGAATTATATATGACAAAGATTCAAGTCCCATCTATGGCACAAACTAAAATTACTGGACATTTTCACCGACTTAGTTATTTTGATCACTGTACAGTTCATTTACCATCCTTGGAAACTTTAGTTCAGAAGTCAGAATTGACATGAAATCAAAACTAAATAGCCTCTTCACAAGCATTATTTTAGAGTAATGATGCTGAATCCATCTATATCTGATGATCAATATGATACAACGAGTACTTTACTTCATCATATCATCATGGTCAATTACCTGACCCTGTGATTTTTTCACTATTTTTAAGGGAGCTCGAAACCAAATATTTAGTAGGTTTCTAGTCAAAATTCTGCATCACAGTGGTGCACAGGTGCTTTGCAGTTCGCACAACTGAATTTGTAGTGTATCATAAGCCATAACAATTCCACATCAAAAAACAAGGACTGCTAAGACAACAATCGACAAGAAATACAAAACTCCAGACTTTTTAAATAACAACGTGAGAGGTCCATTTCTTCATTATACAAGTGCTTCACGACAATAACACCTACAATCATTAAATTTAATGAGGAAAAAAATTTATAAATGCCTTTACAAATTCAGTTTTGAAAAATAAGTTAAAAAAAAAAATCCAAAACCCTAAAATAAAGAGAGTATGCAAGTCCACGAGAGGTAAATTTTTATTTTAAAAAAATAGTAACCACGGAACTTAATTATTTAACCTATTTTTAACTTGCATAAGTAGGTGATTAAGTAACAGCAATAGTCTCCACCAAACGAGTAGGTATTTGAAACTAGGAAGTACCACAAAATCCACGATGATGGTGTGCAGTGCGCCGCTTCAATCCAAAAAAATTGCAGAGAAATGAAAGTTCAAATGCTTTCTTTTGTTATATAAAAAATAAAAGGAAATGCTAAATAAAATGCAAGATGCTAGCACACAGAGATCTCCAAAGTGAAAAGTAATAATAACAAGAAGTGAACGTTACCAAAATAGGATGACAGAACTTAGTCCTGAGAAGCTCCTTGATATCCTCTCTAGCGCCCTTCAACTGATCAGGATCAGACGCTAAGGACTTCGGCGCAGACACCGTTCCGTATCCTCCACTCGAAACACGAACCTCTGCTCTTCGCTGAAAAATATCGAGCGCGATTCATGCAAATGAAATCAAAATCAAGATAAAATAAGAATCGCGTTAATCAGAGAGAAAAAAGGAGGTGAAACCTGGTTGAGGAACAGGTGAGAAATGCGAGGAGAGGAGCGAAAGCATTGGAGCGAGGAAGAAGAAGATGATGAGAACGAGAAGAAAGAACGAGAAGAGGAGGAGAGTGTGACGGAGGGGATGAGGCGAGTAGAGGCGGCGCCACCCAAAACAGCCATTTTGATTGAAGACGGTGGAGAGAGTAAAGGCAGCGAAGGAGTGAGTAACACACGCTCTGCCATTTGGCTGGGTCGGGTTTAATTAATAATTATTTATATTTTTATTTTTTTTGTTTATTTCGTTGCCTCTCCTTTTGTTTCGGATGATGATGTGCCAGATGCCACTCTTGGCAGTGTTTGGGAAGCAATGCACGATATGCTTATATTCGTTTATATATACACTCCCAGTCCCACCTACTTGCCCCGTTTCATCCCCAAGAGCCGCCAACGGGGGAGTGTCTGCTGAATTATTTTACTCTTACAAGTCACATCTATACTCTTGTGTTTATATCTTTATGTATTAAATAAAACTGTTTCTTTATTGTCATTACTTGTTAATTAAACTTAAACATATAGATTAAAAAAGTAAAAGGAAAATTATAAGTAAGTTACTTGTAATTATACTTAAACTAAACTTTATTCGAAGATTACACTTATATTTCTTATTTTATATATTATCTTTATTTATTAACGTCCTTTATTTTAAAAAATATATATATTCCATATTTTTATAACTGCACATATCATATTTTTAGAATATATTAAGTAGTTAAAAAACAAGACGAATATGTTAATTTGAAATTAAGATAATTATATAATATTTAAAAAAGCATTTTTGCTAGAAGTGAAAAAACTCGTATTCTCCTTTCTTTTAAAAAGTTAATTCTCAAATATACCTTTAAAACAACAATAGACATTAAAGGAAGTAAGTGTAACCTGGAAAACAAGTAGAGTCTAAATGTAATGTCTTTTAATTTTAAAAATTATATATTAAGGGTATATCATCAACAAGAACAACAACTAAGCATGGAGACTCTTACTTTATTGAGATTCTTGCCACACCTATTTGTTGACGTTGGTTTATCAAGAAAGTGCAATTGCGCATAGATACAACAAAATTTTGTTTTAAAATATTTTTGTGAGCAAGTGTATTCATTAAAAAATAATAAAGTTTTTTAAAAATAAATTCACAAATTATCATTCTACAAAAACTAATAAAATAAAATAAAAATAAATAAAATAAAATAAAAATAAAACAAAACAAAACAAGAGTTGTTTAAATTAATTAAATGTAATATTTTTTAATAAAAATCTTTGGCAACAACACTAAAAACTTATTCGTGAGTAAGTGTACCAGTTAAAAAGTAATAAAGAGTTCTAAAAATAAATTTTTAGATTATTATTTTACAAAATTATTTTCAATTATTAAAAAAATTTTAATTTAATTATTTGAACATAAAAAGATATAAAATTAAATAAAATAAAAATTCAAATATGAAAGTGATTAAAATAGAATTAAAAATAGCGCAATCTTTAACAATAAACTAATCAATAAAAACTTAAGACGTGTGTTTCATTCTTACTTTTTTTTATATTATCTTTTAGATTAGTTCTAATTTTAGTTTCTATATAATTGTCAATCACTCATACTAAAACTATTAGCATCCAATAGTCATGCAATATTAACCTATTTTTCTCAAAGTTATTACCTCAATAGTCATATAAGGTAAAAAGAAGAGAAAACATAAAGAGTTTATTAATTATTAATTTAATAACGATTGAAAGAGATATTGGTTTAGTCAACCTAATTTTTTTATCTCATTTTACCTATAGATCCATTAAATATATTGTGATTTGATTAATTATAATATGTTTAGGAGTTGTCAATTTCAAACATACAAATATAACATAATAAGGTATTATTAATAAAAAAATATCTCATAAAATTATGCAAAAAATTCAACATCATCTCAATTATAGATTTAAATAGACATAATATAAAAATAAACCAAAATAACACTAAACAGATTCATAAAACTTAAAAAGTATATGTAAACTAAAAGAGTCTCTAATAAAAAAGAGACAAGGAAAAGCAACGTTCACAATGCTTATAAATTTGTAGGATTCTTGGCCAAAAAAGTACTCTAAAGAATTGAAAACTTGAAAATTTGAAAAATATCTTCCTTATCCTTTATCCTTAAGATAAGCTTTCTTTATTGGATATCTATGATAGACTCCTGATTTAACGCACTTTCGAAATTTCAATAATCATCAATGACTGGCTAGTACTAAGTTTAGAGATTTGATACAGACATGGAAGAGATGGGATAAAAACAGAATGTAAAAGGTATAAAAAATGATGCCTAAATAATTTCTCTTAAAGTTTTTTTTATAGAATTTAAAAATCTTTAAATTACTTAAGATTTGAATTTTCCACAAGTGAACATAAAGTCATGCCAGGTCATAAATACAGTTAGCGAAGCCCTATTTTAACTAACATGAACTCAAAATGTACTAAAAACTCAATTATGCTCTTTTCATATTAATGTATATAATTAATATATAATTTAATGTAAAATTCAACTAAAATAATGACTACACATAAATATATAAGCTATAAAAATATAATAAAAAATTTTAATAATAAACTCATGTGCTACATCACAACTCGAGTAAAATCTAAATTAAATCATATATATATATATATATATATATATATATATAATAAAATACAGATTTACCATAAGACTTAAATGTCAATTCTATTTTACAAATTTGTAAGATAATTTTTTTATCAAAAATATTCAAAAGTGATATTTTTATTGATATATTATTATTGTTAGGCTATGGTTAGGTGAAAAGAGAGGTAAACTCTTTTTTCTTTTTTTTATAATTCAACTAACGTAAAATACTTTTTATTTTTCCTTTTTTTTTTTTTGGCCTTTTTCTTTTCTTTCTATTTCTCGTAAAGTCCGAGCATAACAAATTAATCGCCGCTATCTATAGTACATACCAATTTTAAAAAAACCTTAAATATCAAAATTATATAAAAAGAAGCGGCCTAATTTATTTATTTTTATTGAATGTGATTGATTTTTTTTTCATATATCAAATAAAGAAAGTATACAATGAATAAAGATTACATAAAAAATGTTATTTCACCGTTACTATCTTATAATTCAACAATAACTCATACGAGATGTGGTGACAATATTGCACGAAGGGTGTAATTAAAATAACATTATTTTTTATCAGATAACATTTTTATTTTTATTTTAGAATCGTCTCTCTAAAATTGTTTTTGCCTGACCACTATTTTTCACTTAGGTTAGCAAAATGTTTATCCTTAGCCAATTAAACAGGATAAATGGATAATCAAATAGTATCAACAAAAAGTCTAGAAAATTATTAAATATGTAAAATAATTAATAAAAAATTATTTTAACTTAATTTATGATTTTAAAATTTAATTTTAATAAATATAACTGCATTAAATACTTCCAACAAATTTTTCACCTGTGTTCAGAAAAGAAAAAAAAACAAAACAAAGACTCTAGAAATCGAAATTCATGCATAGTTATGTTCTGATAAATCACCATCCATGGTACTATGTTCTGATAAGTCACCATAAACAGACTAAAAACTTTATAAAATATCCTTTATTTTCAGGACAAATCACTCGTTCCCTAATCCCATTTTTTTCTATCTAAAGAACAAAACATAACTTACTCGTGTGAAAGGAATCTTATAGAGGCAATTCTGGTCAACATAGTTGAAAATAGGACAATTTATTTATATTTAACTCGGGTTTTTTAAAATAATTTCCTTTTGACAAAAATGGGTGTTGACATGTGAGGCGTGTGTGAACATACGCCTTGAGTCAAAGATCTCGTTTCCCTTTCTCTGTCTCCACGAAATGCCAATGCTTAAAAATGAACTTTACTATGCTCTTTTACATATTTTTAATGAATATTATATCTCTTAAAAACATAAAATATATTTAATATTTTCCAAAAAATATAAATGTTATCAGAAAAATTAAATTAAAACCAGTCGTTAATAAGGCAATAGAAAGAGGAACATCTTCTATCCAAAAGGTGTTTAAAAGTTAACTTGGTTTTGTGATTTGCAGCATTATCTCTTAAACTTCCCACATGGGACAAGTTATTACAATAAAAGAAGAAATGTTATTTTTATTTAATAATTAAGAGGGTTGATAAAAAAAAAATATAAGATTATTTAGAATTATTTATTCAAAATTGATAAAAATGCATAATATTTTTTAAAAATACTATTAACAATTATGGCAAATAAAAAAAATCATTATTAACTCTTTTGAGGTATTTATTATATTTATAAAGATAAATTAGTGTCGTAAAAAGCAGGGTCTTTTATTATCGGGGAATATTTCTATAGAAAAATTTATCTATTTGTAATCTAATTTAGTTAACATTATTTTGCTAAATATTTCTTCAACTACAGCTTCTTAGCCCTCATGCGCCCACTTAAATTTTTTAGTCTTAAACCTCTTAAAATTCACAATAATCTTACCCTTTTTAATGAATTTGCAGGTTCACTGTATCGAGCTGTGTCTGCATGCAGCAAGCACTAGAATTTGGAGTCACCAAGAACATCATCTTCTTTCCCAGCGGCTGAATCATTTACGCATAACAGGACCGTGCGGTTCTCCAATGAACCTTACCTGGGTCCATGCGCCCACTTTAATTTTTTAGTCTTAAACCCCTTAAAATTCACAATAATCTTACCCCCTTTTAATGAATTTGTATATTTTTAATTTATTACTAAGTTCTTTTATTTAACTGATTCTACCGAAAATTGATCAAGTTACTAGTCCGAATAAATCATAAAATAAGTTAAACAAATAAACAATCGATCAAAAACTTGCTAAAATCAATGAAAATTGGATGTGAATCAGTCCCACATAATGGATATTCCCTTTCATTGTTCCTCCAAAGGCAGATTCATTTTGCTGGGGAAAGATAAATCAAGGTAAATGGTATTTGGAGAAAACTTGGGGCTATTCGAGTTCAACCTAAACAAGTACACTTAATTTGGCACATTCTGAATGGTGCTATCCCAATGTGAGTCAATCCATTTGTCCACGCTGCAATGAGTTTGAAGAACCAGACACAAAAATATGTAGGTGGAGTGCACCACCTCCTAATCTATACAAATTGAGTCATCTATGGGCTCGTGGGGTTTGGGAACTGTTGTAAGATATGCTAAAGGGGTGGTTATTGCTGCAACAACTTTGATAGTTAAAGAGAATTGGGCTTATAGTTTTTCTATTTCTCATGTTAAAAGAAAATGTAACAATGC